CCAGAAGGGCCCAATTTGCTTATGGGTAGCAAGGGAAGTGACTGAAAGCCAGCCAAGAACTGAGCAAGTGGCACTGTTCCCTCTCAGACCCCACACACACACACACACACACACACACACACACACAGTGTCACAACTCAGTGACCTGGGTTGCCCCCCGTCCCCCGCTGGCCAATACCTAAGACTCTGCCCCTCCCAATGTAATAGCTCGGGTGGAGACAAAGAAGTATGGCCCAAATGAAAGAATAGGTCAAAGCTCCAAAAATAGAACTAAGTGATGAAGAGATAGCCAACCTATCAGATGCAGAGTTCAAAATGCTGGTAATCCGGATGCTCACTGAATTGGTTGAGTATGGTCACAAAGTGGAGGAAAAAGTGAAGGCTATGCAAGTGGAATAAAGAAAAGTATGCAGGGAACCAACAGTAAAGGGAAGGAAACCAGGATTCAAATCAACGATTGGGAGCAGAAGGAAGAGATAAGCATTCAACCAGAGCAGAGTGAAGAAACCAGAATTCAAAAAAAGGAGGAGAGGCTTAGGAACCTCTGGGACAACTTTCAATGTTCCAACATCCAAATCATAGGGGTACCAGAAGGAGGAGAGGAAGAGCAAGAAATTGAAAACTGATTTGAAAAAATAATGGAGAACTTCCCCAATCTGGTGAAGGAAATAGACTTCCAGGAGATCCAGGAAGCTCACAGTCCCAAAGTGTTGGACCCAAGGAAGCACACACCAAGGCACATCATAATTATGTTACCCGAGATTAAAGATAAGGAGAGAATCTTAAAAGCAACAAGAGAAGAGGAGACAGTTACCTACAAAGGAGTTCCCATAAGACTATCAGCTGATTTCTCCAAAGAAACCTTGCAGGGAAGAAGGGGGTGGCAAGAAGTTTTCAAAGTCGTGAAAAGCAAGGACCTATAGCCAACATTACTCTATCCAGCCAAGCTATCATTTAGAATGGAAGGGCAGATAAAGTGCTTCCCCGATAAGGTCAAGTTAAAGGAGTTCATCATCACCAAGCCCTTATTATATGAAATGTTAAAGGGACTTATCTAAGACAAAGAAGGAGATCAAAAACCATAAACAGTAAAATGACAACAAACTCACAACTATCAACAACTGAACCTAAAAAACAAAAACAAAAACAAAGTAAGCAAACAACTAGAACAGTAATAGAAGCACAGAAATGGAGATCAGAGGGGAGGGAGACAGGGGAGAATGTGGGAGAATGTACAGGGAATAAGCAGCATAAATAGTAGGTACAAAATAGGCAGGGGGAGGTTAAGAATAGTGTAGGAAATGGAGAAGCCAAAGAACTTACATGTACGACCCATGGACGTAAACTAATAGGGGAGGAAGGAATGCTGGGTGGAGTGGCTGTGCAGAGTGGAAGGGAATAAAGAGGAGGAAAAATATGGGACAACTGTAATAGCATAATCAATAAAATATATTAAAAAATAAAATAACATGCTAAAATAGATATTTTAAAAATATTAAGTAAACAATAGGGCAATTGGGCAAATATAGTGAAGGTAATTTGTGTAGTCACCCCCTTTCCACAATGGATGTTCCAAGACTCCAGTGTTTGCCTGAAATCACAGACAGCACCAATTCCTATACATACTACGAATTTTTCTATGCATATGTCCTTATGATAAGGCTTTAATTTTTGAATTAGGCACAATAAGAGATTAACAATAACCAATAATAAAACATAACAATTATAACAATATACTGTAATAAAATATCTGAATGTGGTCTCAAGATACCTCATTGCATTGTATGCACAGTGTGGATACCTAGGGCAAAAGAATATTTCACATCTTGGGCAGACCAGTATGGCACAAGAGTTCATCATGCTACTCAGAACAGCATGCAACTTAAAAATTATTTTGTTTATTTCTGGAATTGTCCATATTATTGTTAGACCAGGATTGACCCAAGGGAACTAAAACCGTGGGAAACAAAACCATGAGTGTGTGTGTGGAGGAGGTGGTGGAGGGAGATTACTTTATAAAACTCAGGGACTACTTTGAGCAACACTAACTCAGATGCTAAGAGCAAGAATTCTGGTCCCACCACCCAAATTCAAATTCCAGCTCTCCCTGGAGAGTGCTATGCCTGACATTTTACCCAAGATATTTGACCTCTTTGAGACTAGTTCTTCCTGCTTTAATACAGGAAAAGCCTGGCCACATCAAGGAGTTGTTGGAACAAATGAAACAAGGCATGTGAAGCACTCACTTGATGCTTGGCAAGGCTAAGCACTATATAAATGCTAGCTAGAGATTAATAGCTGAAGGAGACAGCTACAAACAGTAGATTCCAGGAAGTCTCAAACAGACTGCCTAAGGTCAGACAGGGTCAACATCTGACATCATCACAGGCAGATCCAGAAAGTAAAAACAGTGGTTTCCAACCATAGAAGCTCACACCACAAAGTCAGGAAATCAAGACAGATCAACTTAAGAAGCAGAAGCAAAAGAGAAGAGTCTCACAAATAATGGGAAGACAAAGAAATACGCTTCACTCAAAGGGAAAGGAGGAATCCCCAGAAAGACAACTCAATGAAATAGAGGCAAGTAAACTGTCAGACATTGAGTTCAAAACAACGGTACTAAGGAAGCTCAATGAGCTCAGTGAGTTCAGAGAAAATTACCAAAAACTACAGGGAAACTACAAGGAACTTACTGCAAACTATATCAGCATGAAAAAGGGCATAGAAACTATCGATAAGAGACAAGAGAAAATGAAGAATACAATTTCTGAATTGAAGAACACAGTAGAAGGAATCAAAAGCAGGCTATATCAAGTAGAGGGTCAAATCAGCGAGCTGGAGGACAGGGTAGAAAAAAGCTCCCAGAAAGAGCAAGAAAATGAAAAAAGACTAAAAAAGAATGAAGAGGCATTGAGGGAAATGCAGGGCAACCTGAAACGTAATAATAGCCATATAATAGGGATACCAGAAGGAGAAGAGGATGAGGAAGGGATAGAGAACCTGTTTGAAAAAGTAATGATGGAAACTTTCCCTAATTGGAGGACAGAAAAAGTCACACAAGTCCAGGAAGCACAGACGGTCCCATTCAAGAGGGACCCAATGAGGCCCACTCCAAGACACATTATCATGAAAATGGCAAATATCAAAGACAAACAGAATCCTAAAGGGAGAAAGAGGTAGTAACATATAAGGGAGCCCCGACACAGCGAGCATCTGACTTCTCAACAGAAACACTGCAAGCCAGAAGGGAATGGCAAGAAATATTCCAAGTCATGAAAAACAAAGGCCTGCAACCAAGACTGCTCTACCCAGCAAGGCTCTCGATTAAAATGGAAGGCAAAATAAGGAGTTTCCCAGTCAAAAGAAGACTAAAAGAATACACCTCCACCAAACCGGCATTATAAAATATGCTAAAGGGACTGCTTTAAGAAGATCAAGAAAAAGAGTCTATGAATACCCAGTTCCTTTCAGAGTTGCCAATACTTGATATTACCAATATTTTTAATATGTATTAATCTGGTTGTGACAATGATGTTATTTTAATTGTTCCTTTACTATTTGTTGAAACTAAACCTGTTTTAGTATATTTCTTGCCTATTTCTATTATTTTTTTAAAAAAAGCTTTTAAGACATTTTGGCATTCTTTATCCATTTTTTGATTAAAAGTTTGTAGAACTTCCCCCCTTACCAAAAAAAAAAACAAACCCTATTAACCATGTTTTAGATGTGTTGCAAATACTTTCCTATTCTTTTCCTTGTCCTTTAATTTTTTTATATGTATATCACTATATAGTTAAATATTTAATATAGTCATATTGTCAATATTTACTTTATATCTTCTGGGTTTGAATATTTTACTTCAGGTCATGAAAAATATTAGTTTTATTTTCTTTGAAAACTCCTTAGATTCTACATATTGATTTTTAACTCACCTGAATATTTCTTGTATAATGTGTGAAATAGGGCTCCATATTTGTTTTATTTCAAGTAATAGTGGCCCATGCACCTTATTTGTTGAATAAGCCTTATTTTACCCATTGACTTGAAATATCAACTTAATCATATATTAAATTATTAGATATATAAATTTGTCTCTAGAATGTTCATTACATTTCATTGATCTACTTGATTAAATCTGTGCTGGTGTCATGTTGGCTTAATTGCTGGGACTTTAAAATGGTTTTAAATTTTTTAAATACTTTATAATTAACTTTGACATTTAAATAATAAATAAAATCAATCTGCAGTTAAGAAAGAAAGAGAGAGATGGAACTCGAGATTAAGCTAAGTGAAATAGGCCGGTTGATGAAAGACAAATACCATATGATCTCACCTATGAGTGGACTCTATTCAACAAAATAAACTAATGAACAAAATAAACCACAGGCGAGGAAACATGGAGCAGACTGAAAGTGACCAGAGGGGATGGGGAAAGAGGACAGTGGTGGAAAGAAGGGGAAGGAACTAGACAAAGAACATGTATGAATGACCCATGGACATGGACAACAGAGTGGAAATTGACTGTTGGATTGGGGAGTGGGGGTGGGATGGGTGGAGGGTGTAAAGGGAGAAAAATTGAGACAACTGTAATAGAATAAACATGATTTATAAATTTAAAAAAACACTATAAAGTAAAAAAAAAAGTAATATTTTAAAAAAATGGGCAAAGAACCTGAACAGACACTTCTCCAAGGAGGACATAAACAGGGAACAGAGACATATGAAAGGATGCTCATCATTACTAGCCATCAGAGAAATTCAAATTAAAACCACAATAAAAAATAATAATAAAAAAACTGCTAGCTAATACGACGACAGGCAACGAAGCCGCCACTCTGCAGGTTCAGCATGGGGACGACACTGCCCCCAATTGCAAGAGCTAGCCAACCGTATTGGCCTCTGCCCTTCTGCGTAAGTTCCTCTCTCCACTACGGTCGGCGGGACCGCCCCCTAGCTCAGGGCCGCTATGATAGCGCCACCTAACTTCCGTTTCCGGGGCTGTCTAAGGGGCTCCCGGCTGCGTGATCTGAGCGCGTTGGGACCTGGGCGTGCGGGAGCCGGAAGGGTCTGCGCTGTGTACCGGTAACCGGGCAGGGGAGGGAAGCGGCTGGGTGTGGTACCGTTGGGAGAGAGGGGCGACCCTCATCTTGATATTCGGGCTAGTGCCAGGCTGGACTTCAGCCTGGTGTTGTGGAGTCCTTTTCGCTCCATCTCACGGGCCTTTACACCCTCTCGGGATTCCTGTTGACTAGGGCCCTGGGGATGTGTGTGCGGAGCCTGCCCCGGTGATTGGGTCTCTGTCCGGGGCAGGACACGTGCATTTACGGGCTTCAGCCTCCTTATTTAGAAGCAGGTCTTATTCACAGTGATTGTGAGCTCTTTAAGGGCAAGAATTGACTTAGTGTTAGACACTGTCGCTTGTCCCTGGTACAGAACAAGGACAGTGTAGGTACTCGGTGCCTACTTAGGTTGTTTTAGGTCGCAAAACCTTTAAAAATATGGTGAGAGCTTTTGATCCCCACTTCCCGTCTCTCTCACCCCAACCCCACCCATATTCAGGTACTGGAAATTTGGCTTACTATTTCAAATATTTCACCTCTTCTGATGCCTAATCATGGATCCCAGAGCCTGGCCGATAGTAGGCGTTCAGATACTTGTATTCAGCAGATGTTCAGTTTATCATTTTTAAACACAGGAAGCATTGCCTCCTTCACAGGACAAAGATAGATATCCTATTAGCAAGTTTTAGTCATGGGTCTGACAATGTGCCGTTCTCACTTAAGTCTACCAACAACTCTAGGAGAGAGGTATTACTTAATTCCCATTTTGCAGATGAGGAAATTCAGGCACAGGAGAATAATCTTGTCTTACGTCATTCAACCTATGAATGGTGAGGGCAAGAATTCAGATTCATACCTGAAATTCCAAAGGCCCATGTTCTTAAATGCTAGCCAAAAAAGGACAAGATGCAGAAATGTGTTGGAATGTGGTCTAGTAGCCTCTGTTTTTGAATTGTTAACTACTGTAGTTATGAGATGGCTATTTTCAACATGGGGAATCCCAAACCAGTCATCATATACTGTGGAAATCCTCTTATTTTTCTTTCTCCTTTTCTTCCACAGTATCTATATTGCTTGTTTAATAATATATTTTACATCTGTGTCCATGTTATTCATTCTTTTATCTTTGGTGAATACGGATTCAGGCGTGCTGTCTGAATATGACTATATCAGTTGTGTTGCCTTGTTCTTCTCGCCTTCCAACGCAGATATTTTTACTTATAGTAGAAATGTGAAGTGATAATGTTTGGAGATTTTTCGTTTTCTTTTCTGTACTGCTTTTGAAGGGACTATATCAAAGATATTGGAAGCACTGCCAATATGTCAGGTGTTCAAGAAGCCACTAACCAACTTCTGGATGTAAACCTTCATGAGAACCAGAGGTCTACACAAGTGACAGAAAGTGGCCCCAGAAGTGAGTCTGAGCACCTTCAAGTCACTATTGGAGCCACTGTACCTACTGGTTTTGAGCAAACAGCTGCAGATGAAGTGAGAGAGAAATTGAGGTCATCATGCAAAATCAGCAAAGACCGGGGCAAGATATATTTTGACATTTCAGTGGAAAGTCTGGCTCAGGTTTGAATGAAGCAATATTTAAAATAGTTTCCTAAATAGGTCATTTGTGAATATTTTCTATTGCATTTTCTATTGGGTACTGATTTGTAAGTTTGACTCGTAGGTTTGCTATATTTTTAGAAGTGATCCTAATATTTCCTGAGGATGAATTCACCAGAAGAATTCTATGTGACTTATGAAGAAATTCTAGGTTATCTGCTACACATCTTTGACTTTATTTACTTCACCATCTAGCTGAAGTTTAGACTTTAGGAGTGAGGCATAAATAAGGTTTGTTTGTTTTTTAAAAAAAAACCCTGTATCAAGAAATACTTGCTCAAAAGTAATTAGGAATCACACTGAAGGTGAGACATGAAAGTCAGCAAACTGCAATCCCACTAGAAGAAAAAGCTAAGCTATATCTCATTATCACTTAAGCAACATGAGGACATGGATTGTCCTTTTTTTTTTTTTTTTTTTTTTTTGATGTCGCCCAAGCTCTGAACGTGTGGCATGTAGTAGATACCCCCCAAAAATGTGTGGGATGAATTGGTATGCAAGTATTTTCCATGTAGTATTTTAGTAAATAAGATCCATAGCTTTGTGAAGATAGGCATGTTATTATCCTTTTTAGTCATTAGGCTTAGTAATAAGTAACCGGCCCAGGGTTGTTCAGCTAGTAATCATAGAGCTGGAGCTCAAACCCTGTGCTCTTAACCACTGCACTATGCAATGTACCCCAGAGAGCCATGAGGGAAATATGATAAAGCCTTACTTGACTATCTTTGTTTTTCCCTTCTCCCCCAAACCTGTGTTACCCACATAACACACTAAGCTTCTATCTTTCCACCTGTCCTTCCTTTTATCTAGAGGAATAGAAACTGATAGGTAACCAAAAAGATGGGAAACGAGATGTGGGGAAAATTTGAAATATAAATTATAGGTATAGTAGACTCCCCCCCAAATCCATGGAGTTGTGTTCTAAGACCTCTAGTTGATACCTAAAACTGCAGGTAGTACTGAACCCTATATACTGTTTTTTTCTATACATATATACCTATGATAAAATTTAATTTATGAATTAGACAGTGTCATGGGTAGAAGATTGATTTTTTAAAGGTTTTATTTATTTTTAGAGAGGGGAAATGGAGAGAGAAAAAGAGAGAAACATTGATGTGAGAGAGAAACATTGATTTGTTGCCTCTTGAACACGCCCTGACCAGGGACCAAAGCGCCTTGACCAGGCATGTGCCATGACAAATGGAACCAGTGACCTTTTGATTCATTGGACAAAGCCCAGCCAACTGAACCACACTGATCAGGGTGAAGATTGATTTTTGTCATATATCTTAGCAACCTCAGCATACAGTTTTTTTCTTCCCTTATTAAGTCATCAGCTTTCACCTTTTCACTTAAAAGAAGCACTTGACAGTTTCTCTTTGGCATATCCAAATAGCCAGCAAACCACATGCACCAATCCAGGGCGAATCTTAAGTAAAATAATAGTTACTAGAACACAAGCACTGTGATACCACAACATGGCTACTCAGTCACTAATGGATGGGTAGCATATACAGCACGGATATTCTAGTCAAAGGGGTGACTCATTGTCCCTGGTGGGATGGCATGAGATTTCATCAAGCTACTCAGAAAAGCATGCAGTTTAAAACTTAAGAATTCTTTATTTCTTCCATGTAACATTTTTGGGCAGTGGTTGACCATGTGTAACTAAAACCACAGAAGAAGGGACTACCTAGCCAGGTGGTTCAGTTGGTTGGACTGTCATCCCTTACACCAAAAGGATACAGGTGTGATTCCCAGTCAGGGCACGTATCTGGGTTGCAGGTTTGATCCTGGATCGGGGCACATACAGGAGGCAGCCTATCTGCGTTTCTCTCTCACGTTGATGTTTCTCTCTTTCCCTTCCTCTCTCTCTGCCTCTCTAAAAAATCAATAAAATCATATTCTCGGGTAAGAATTAAAAAGAGGGGGGACTATCATGTTAGCTGCTTTAATTTTATTTTTTAAAGGTTTATTTTCTTATTTGAGAGAGAGAGAAACATGGATGTGAGAGAGAAGCAGATTGGCCACTTTCTGCACATGCCCCAACAGGGGATTGAGCCTGCTACCTGGGCATGTGCCCTGATGGGAAATTGAATTGGCAACCTTTTGCTTATTGAATGATGCTTCAACAAACTGAGCTACACTGGCCAGGACCACATTAGCTGCTTTAAAGTCTTTGTACTTAGCCCTGGTCAGGTGGCTCGGTTGGAGCATTGTCCCATCCATCAAAACATTGTGGGTTCCATCCCCAATCAGGACACATACCTAGGTTGTGGGTTCGAATCAGGGCATGTACAAGAGACAATCGATCAATGTTTCTTTGTCTTGTTTCCTTCCTCTCTAAAATCAGTAAGCATATCCTTGGGTGAACATTTTAAAAAAATATATTTTTTAAGTCTTCTACCTAATTTTTATATTTAAATGTCAGTAGTTTGTGTGATTCAAATGTTTTCTCAGAAATTTGTTCCTAACATTTTTTTCCCTTACCAGGTTCATTGTCTGAGATCAGTTGATAATTTATTTGTGGTGGTTCAGGAGTTTAAAGATTACCAGTTCAAAGAAACCAAGGTGAGCCATGCCAGCCAAACATGGTACTAATTTGCAGCCATGATCCCAAAGAAATTATTTCTACTTTTCACATCCTGTCATTTAACATTACTTTTGCTTTTACAATATAAAACACTGGGAGGCTTTTACAATAAAATCCAGAGATTTGTTGACAGTCCATCCCAAAAGTTGTGTTTAAAAATCAGTATTGCAGTAGCTCAGTTGGTTAGAGCATGGTGCTAAAAACCAGTATTGCAGGGTGTAGAGAGTGGGCAAAATGGGTGGAGGGAGTCAAAAGGTACAAGATTCCAGTTACAAAAATAAGTCAGTCATGGGGATACAATTTAAACATGTTTAAGCATTAACCTTAGTTAATATTACTGTGTAGCATATTTGCAATTTCTAAGAGGTTAGATCTTAAAAAGTCCTCATCACATGAAAAAAAGAATTTGTAACTATATGGTGGTAAATATTAACTAGACATACTGTGATTATTTCGCAATGTATACAAATATTGAGTCACTGTATTGTACACTTGAAACTAAAATGTTATGTAAATTATATATACCTTGTTTTTTAAAAAGATGAAAGAATAATAAAATTTAAAAATCAATATTGAAAACATCAAAATTTATAAGAAAACAAATTGTTTGACGTTCTTACAAAAGATATATACCTTAGATTAGTTTTGCTGATATATATGGTTTCAAAGTAGAATTGCTTCCTGATTGCAAACCAAAGAGCAAGTGACAGTTTGTATCATCTACAAATAACACTTTCCTTTACCATTCTGCTTTTGCCTCATTTAACTTCATTTTTTGAAGTAAAGCCAAAGTAATATCTAAATATTCCTTCAGTTGTTAGGACAAAAGCTTTGTCTCCAACTTGTACTTAGCATCTGATTTGTAAATATTGAGATGCTGCCTAAGCTGAAGGTTGAAAATAGAGCTCAGTAAGGCTTTAATATTTTTCCACATTGCTTTTCAGTCAGGTTTCCATAATCAAATGCTTGAAAACTTTTTTCTGTTAGTTTTATTGCCTATATGAGAAATTACTTGTTTTTAAAAACTATGTTATGCTACTTAATTCTCTAATTTTTATTTATTGGCAAAAGGTTAATTTCCAAAACATTATTCAAAAACCAATCAAAGTGGTATGAACCCACAGCCTAGAAAAAAATAAAACTAGACGGAAAAGAATTCAGACTGAAAATAGATTAAAATTTTAATAACCAAAAGTGTAACTTTCAACACTAGTATAACTCTTTAGGCTTCTGATAGTCATTGCCAACTGAATTATATCTGGGAAAATAGTAAATAATAGGCAGGCTGCTGAAAAATTTTGCTGCTAAGTATTTCAAAATTTTAATGGCCATGAATAAATGTTAATAGGCCTTTTAAAACTATTAGACTTTTTAAAACTATAAGCTTGCTTTTTTTTTTTTTTTTTTAATTTTTAATTTCTTGGCCCTGTCCAGTACCTCCATTGGTTAGAGAGCATCTCGATACACCAAGGTTGTGGGTTTGATCCTCAGTTAGGGCCTATACAAGAAGCAATCAGTGAATGCATAAGTAAGTGGGAAAGCAAAAATCAGTGTTTCTCTCTATCTCCCCCTTCCTCTCTCTCTAAAATCAATACATAAAAATTTTTTAAAAATTAAATTCTTGTCTCTAACATACTAGGGCATTATTAATATTCTCTTTAATTCCTGCATATTTTCCATCTTAGAATTTGTATTATTTTGGTGTTTTTGATCTCTTAATTGGAGGTGAATTTGGTATTATGGAATAGTTCTGTGTGAGCCAGCTTTTTAGTGTTGCTTTGTGAGTAACTATAAAACTTTGCTGCTGAAGTCCTAAAAGAAGAGTAGCAGGTATTTAGGTGGATTTTCAGATCTGTGTGTGGGCAACCTCTTTTGTGTATGACCATGAAAAATTGTTAAGCCCTTCATTTGTGGACTTAAATTGCAACACACCCCAGTAAAACCTTGCTTTTAAATATTTGTTTCTAGCTTTTATCCTGTTGACCATCAATTTTAATCTTTGTAGCATTATAATTTCCTCTCCTTAAAAGCCTGTTAATTTAAGCATTTTAATTATTTTTAAGTATTTTTAAGTATTCAGATGATATCATGAATTTATAGCCTATTTTTTTAAAGGCTAGCATCTGTGACTTATTTTTCTTTGAGTTCTACAAACTCCTTTTTCTTCTTCTGGTGACTCACCTCATCTTCTTTCTGCTTTTCTATCTCTGCCTTGAGCTTTCGTTTTTACAAAGGTCTATTCTTACTACATTTTTTGATGCCATGTCGATGTGTTTGGTCATAGCTTTCAGCTGCTCTTTCGCATTGTCTTTCTGGTCAGGGTTTTTTCCCCCGCTATTTGTTTTCTGTACCTTTCCCCTTTTTTCCTTTTTTGTGTTTCTCTAAATCTTGTGCTGATAACTTTTGATAATTGCTCATTTTTTAAAAATATATATATTATTGGTTATGCTCTTACAGCTGTCCCATTTTTTTCTCCCCTTTATTCCCCTCTGCCCTACACCCCCACTCCCACAGGAATTCCGCCCTCTTTTGTTCATGTGTGTGGGCCATGCATGTAAGTTCTTTGGCTTCTCCATTTCCTATACATTCTTAACCCCCACCTGTCTATTTTGTGCCTCCTGTTTCTGCTTCTTATACCCTGCACCTTTTCCCCCATTCTTCCCCTCCCACTCCCCTTTGATCTCTATGTGATTCTGTTCCTATTCTAGTTGTTTGCTTAGTCTGTTTTTGTTTTCTTTAGGTTCAGTTGTTGATAGTTGTGAGTTTGTTGTCATTTTACTGTTCATAGTTTTTGATTTTCTTCTTTTTCTTAGGTAAGTCCCTTTAACATTTCATATAATAAGAGCTTGGTGATGATGAACTCCTTTAACTTGACCTTACCGGGGAAGCACTTTATCTGCCCTTCCAGTCTATGGTTCACAGGCTGGCGCTCAGTCCAAAACATGTGTGGTTGCCTCTCACACGCCCCCTAGTACGGGCCTGGCCCGCAACCCAGGCATGTGTCCTGACTGGGAATAGAACCAGTGACCCTTTGGTTCACAGGCTGGTGCTCAATCAACAGAGCCACACCAGTCAGGGCTGCCCTTCCATTCTAAATGATAGCTTTGCTGGATAGAGTAATCTTGGATGTAGGTCCTTGCCTTTCATGACTTTGAATACTTCTTGCCACCCCCTTCTTGCCTGCAAGGTTTCTTTTGAGAAACCAGCCACTAGTCTTATGGGAACTCCTTTGTAGGTAACTGTCTCTTCTTCTTTTGTTGCTTTTAAGATTCTCTCCTTATGTTTAATGTTGGGTAACGTAATTTTGATGTGCCTTGGTGTGTGCTTCCTTGGGTCCAACTTCTTTGGGACTCTCTGAGCCTCCTGCATCTGATAGGTTGGCTGTCTCTTCATCACTTAGTTCTATTTTTGGAGCTTTGATCTATTCTTTCATTTGGGCCATATTTCTTTGTCTCACCACACCTGTTACATTGGAAGGGACAGGGCCTTAAATATTCGCCAGGTCGGGGTAACCCAGGTTGCTGCGTTGTGATGCTGTATGGGGGCGGAGGGCACAGTATCTGAGAGGGAACAGTGCCACTTGCTCGGCTCTTGGCCAGCTTTCAGTCACTTGGTTCTCTACCCACAAGCAAATTCGGCTCTTCTGGTGCTGATTCCCTGGTGGGTAGGTTTGTGTACATTTTAGGACCCTGTGGATCTCTCCAATGAACTCTCCTGTGACTCTTTGAGTTTTTTCTGCCTCTGCAACTTCCACAGATTCTTACAGCCAGAGGTTTTGAGGCTTTCTTTTCCCGCATTGGAACGCTGGATTGTGCAGTCTATTTCTCTCCCCAGCTGTTCCTCCCGGTTTATCCGCACGCAAATGTGGGACCTCCTGGTCAGCCAGCCGCTGCCTTGCCACACATCATTTCTGCCCTGGCTGCCTGTCTCTGTCCCTTTTGCCAATCTAGATGAATGTTTCTTCTTTAATTCCTTGGTTGTTGGACTACCATACAGTTCGATTTTCTGGCAGTTCTGTTTATTTTTTTGTTTTTAAATTTGGTTTTGCAAAGAGACAAAGTGTATCTACCTATACCTCCATCTTGGCCGGAAGTCCTGATAATTGCTCATCTTTGATTAAGAGAGATCCTCTTGGACCTGCTGTTTAGAGGAGGTTCTCCTGAGAGAAGCCAGGAACTGTTCCAGGCCAGGAAGAAATCCCTGTGGTTCACTGTGAAGATCCTCCTGATAAAGGGCTGTCAGTGAATGAATTCTTCTCTTCTTCCTTCTTTTTTAAAAACAGCTTTACTGAGATATAATTTCTATACCATTAAGTTCTTTTACCCATTACTTCTCCCTAGCCTAAAGAGGTCAGCAGCTTTGGGTTATTTACTATGTAGAGTATTCTCCCCAATTCTACCTCACCAATGGACTGTTTCCAGCAAATAGAACTTATCTGTGAGATTCCTCGTTCAGTCTCCCTTTCTCCCCCCTACTTTTTGGTACAAATGAAGTCCAGTGCATGTACTTCTTCCCTGCTGTTTCCAAAGAAGAGTTTATTTGCTTTTGCATTGCACACTGCTCTACCGTTTATCTGAGATCAGTAGGCATTCATCCTCTCTGTCTTCATGCACATGTTTGACATTTCACTGCACTTGGGAATTCTTATGTTAACAATTCTCGTGTTATGGTTCAAGGTTATAGATATCATGCAGATATTTCTAAGGCAGAGTTGGTTATTTCTGTTTTTTCTTTTAGAATGGTTTCTGAAGAAAGAAAGGGGCTGTACCAGTGTTATTCCACCATGTCAACCCTAGATGCCCTTTTTAGGAAAATTATTTGTAAAAAGAATTGGATTTGCCAAACTTAAAATTTACCATTATTTTATTAGGTTTCAAGTAGTATCAAAGCCTTCACTTAGTTCCATTTCAAGTCTCAGTTTCATCAGCCAGCACTGATTTTGTTCTGCTTTGAGCCTGAGTAACATGTACTGTCTACCAGCACTCTGCAGTGGAGCTTTCAAGTGGAAATGTTTTGTGTCTGTGCTGTCCACCATGGTAGCCTCTGGCTACCAGTGTGTGAAATGTGGCTAATATGACTGATAAACTGAGTTTTTAATTTTAAATCATTGAAATATCAGTTGCTACCTGTGGCTGATGGCTGCTGAATTGAACAGCCTGGCTCTCTACCACGCATTTTAACATTAAATCACATTATCCAACAGCTGTTTTAATTAAGTACCTTTTGTGTGCCAGGCACCTTTCTAAGCATGTAGCTTATAACAATGGTCAAGACAGGTAGGGTCCTTCCCAGATACCTTCTGGGAGGAGCCTTGTTAGTGAACAATGCATAAACCTGGTAACCTTAGATAATGCTAAGCTCTGTAAAGAAAATAAAATGGGAAGAGAATGACTTGAGAGGACTACTGTAAGTAGAGCAGGTCTCTCAGAGGATATGCCTTTTAAATTGCTAGTAAGTAATGAGACGGGAGCCAGCAGTGCAAAGAGACCACTTGAACCAAATACCTTCCAAGCAGAGGAAGTGAGGGAGAGGATGATCCTGAAGTGATGTATGAGAAGTAGGCAGGAGTCAGATTATGTTGGGCTTTTTAAGGAATTTACATTTTTTTATGTGCTCTGGGAAGCTATTGACAGACTTTAAGCAAGGGAGGGGCACGATCAGATTTATTTTTTAAAAAGATGACTCTAGATACTATTTACAAATTGTATAGATAACTTTTTTTAATAGCAAGTTGGTTATTTTAACAAACATTACCTTAAAAAATAGTTAATATATACACACAGCATAAAATTCAAATGGTAGTCAGTCAGTAAGAGGTTAAGTTGCTCTTTCTCCCTGTCCTTCTTCCCCTCTTTCCCCTTGTTAGAGGTAACCACTGTTTTTAGTTTCTTATTGTTTACATTTTCATCTTGAAGCCCAACTTCCAATCTACCATTCTATCTTGTATTATTCTTAGTGGCTTAATTTACATATACCTTAATTTTAAATGAGATTTTTATTTCCTCATTACAGCCAATATTTTATTGACTCTTGTTTTGCACCCCTATGATTCCCAAAATAATGATTAATGTCGTCTGTGGACAAAGTAGGAATTTATTTGTTCAATTAAAATGGTGAGAAATAAATGGATCTCATCCTCTGTCTCTTGTAGGAAGAAGTCCTAAAGGATTTTGAAGAATTGGCTGGGAAGCTTTCATGGTCAGACCCTCTAAAAGTATGGAAAATTAACACCAATTTCAAGAAAAAAAAAACAAAACGCAAGAAGATAAATCAGAATTCAAGTAAAGAGAAGATTGATAATGGACAAGGAGATAAAAGAGATGAAAAAGATGTTAAAAAAGAGCTCACTAACAAAGCCTCAGATTCACATATTTTAGACTACTATGAAAAGCCAGCTATCAAAGAAGAGATATCAACATTAGTAGGTGATGATTTGGCATCTTGCAAAGATGAGACTGATGAGGGCTCAAAGGAAGAAACTGATCTTGAAGTGCTAAAGTTTAGAGTCACATGCAACAGGGCAGGAGAGAAACATTGTTTTTCCTCTAATGAAGCCGCAAGAGATTTTGGGGGTGCTGTTCAAGAGTATTTTAAATGGAAAGCTGACATGACCAACTTTGATGTGGAGGTAGGTACAGGATCTGATTTTGATGATTCAAGAAGGCTGTCATAGATTGAATTTTTAGACTAACCCAATCTAATGGATAATTAAACTGAGGGCACGGAGCTAATAGGGTGTGGCTGACAAGAGCATGGGCAGTGGAGACAGATCTATAGTAAGAATAGTTACTTGATTCCGCACTGTGTAACTTTAGACAAGACACTCTCTCTGAGCCTGTGTTTCAAATAGAGATGGTGGTAGTATATACCTCTAACTGTGTCCTGAAGGTTAAATGAGATCATACGTTTTAAGTATTTGGTGCATTAAAGTGTTAAATAGATGGGAAATATTAAGACTTGAGTTTTCTAATTTCTAATTTAGTACTTTTTTAACATTACCTGGACTTTCAGATTATGAAATGCAGCCAGACTTAATACATTTTTTTTGTTTTTGTGTGTCTTGCTTGTAGAGGTTTGCTACTAAAAGAAGTGGAGTACATTTTTTTTTAAGAGAGAGAGAGTTTTTATAAGAGTTTGTTTGGGCCGAGCTGACAACATATGCCTAACAGCAAGATCTCAGATGTTCCCCAGAGTGCATTTTTAAAACAAACCTCGATCTCCTAAAATCAGGACAACATTGCTAATACTCATCCTAGAGCCAGCTCTCCTCTTCCTTAAATTCTGCTAGATTCTCAAACCCAGATACCTCATTTTAGCATCCTTAGTGTCAATCATCTACTACATGGGTAATTCACATGTGGACCACACTAAGTTGTCTTTAAATCTCTGACAGCTTAAAAGGCCCCTAGCAGCTGATGTTTTTACCGAGAAGTCATTTTGTGTTGCTTTTGGGACACTTGAATCTGGGGCAAGTCACTTAATTCTCTCTGTGAGTTTTTCTTTTATTGCATATCAAATCAGAGAAACAATTCCCCATTCCCTTTTTTTCTCGTAACGGCTGTTATGAAAATGAATCGGCTAACTAGAACAGCAATGTCCAAAAGTTAGCAAGGGGTCTCAGATAATGGAACCATACCACCCGGGTTCAGATCCAATTTACAAGGCATATGACTCTGGGCAGGTAAGCAGACATCTTTGTGCTGCAATTTCCTTATCAATAAAAGGAGGGTAACAATACCTAGCTCAGATGGCATGAATATGAAATGAGGTAATGAATGTAAGGTGTGTAGAACACTGGCTTGCATATAGCTAGGTAAGTGGCACCTGCTGTTGCTAAGGTCCTGATGAGGAAATTTTAGAGAACATATTTTTTTTTCATTCTTTATTTGAATAGTTTATATTTAATTATGTTAGAAGAACTATAGGACAAAAAAAATTTCACAGACATTGAATCAAGTTTTGAAAAATATTAAGAAAATAATAGGTGATAAAGCAAATGTATAAACAAAAGTTAAAGTTTTAAAAATGTATATTAAACCCACAGACATTCCAAATATGTTTACATTATAAAAATTAGGGGGAAATATGGTTATAGCTAACTTAGAAGTACACTGAATGAAAATAAAAGAAAAACTAGATGTTAAAATTTAAAAGTAGTATAAACTACATGATTTCATTTATATGAAGTTCAAAACAAGACAAAACTAATATATAGTAAAAGTGATCAGATTAATAATTACTGGAAAGGGCAAAGGGAAGCCTTCTGGTTTGCTAGAAATATTGTATATCTTTATCTGGGTGGCAGTTACAGTGCATATATAGGCAAAAATTCACTGTGCTGCATACTTAAGATTTGTGTACTTTAGTGTATGCACAGTACCCCTCAATAGTAAAGTAAAAAAAAAATTAATAAACGCTGAAATTTCAAAATCTTAGTAATAAGTGGTTTGTACAATTCTAAAACTATTTTATTCTATCTTGTTTTATTTTAGGTACTTTTGAATATCCATGACAATGAAGTCATTGTGGGTATTGCATTGACAGAAGAGAGTCTCCACCGAAGAAATATTACACATTTTGGACCTACAACTCTTAGATCTACTCTTGCCTATGGGATGCTCAGGTAGGAGAATGGGTTTGCCATCTAGATTAAAGTGATAACATAATTTCAAGTTTCCCTTCAAAACACTTTAATTTCTTGTGAGGTACTGTGTTGGAATTTAGTGGGTAAAGAACAGGATAAAAAGCTGCTGATGATCTGTTCCTTTCCCTTGTATCCAGTGTTGATTCTTTGTGATCCTGAAAATATTATTTAATTACTACTTCAGTGTCATTGATTTTTAAAATGGGAATGATAGTTTTCATCTACCTCTTGAATGGGGTTGGGGAGAAAACATTACTCATTTAGAAATGTTTTCTAAACATTTCTGTTTAGAAAGAATATACTGTAGATTGGGAAATAGAGCAAATTTTACTTCGTTTCATTTCTGTCAGTGAAGCAGATAAAAGCAAATCTGTTTAAAAAATGTCTAATGTATAAATGAACACAGAGAACTTTTACTTATAGTTTTAAATTTTATAATCACTGCAACCCAGGAACTATCCTAGAATTTTTCCATTTCTTCAAATGTAAGACCTAGCTTGCTTTCTCCTTTCCTGTTTCCTTTTATATTGGGTACTTCTTTCTACCACTCAGACAAGTTGTCTTCTGTAGGTTTGTTTTTTAGAGTGCAAAATGGGTCTGCTGTGAGACTTAAAGGATTATTACTGAGGAGTAAATGCAGAAACATATGCAAAATACCTGCTATATACAGTGTCTGGCATATCCTGGGAGTCCTCTTTTATCAGCTCATCGACAAAGTCACAGTTCAGCACAGTTAGAAGCTATCAATTCGGTGACAATAGTAGACAACTGGAGATATTTGATTAAGGAAAAGTTTGTAGTCTTCATTCAACAAACATTTATTATCTCCTGCCAGGCATTGTGGTATAGGAACCAGGGATATGAATAGTTATTTTTGGTGCAAGTATTAGAAACCTAAGTAAGCTGGTTTAAGATTTTTTGAAAAAGTGATGATGGTGTGGGAAGGGGATTTATTGGAAAAACACTGAGAAGTCTTAGGGAATCCTTAGAAAACTGAAAGCCATGTTTCAAGAAGCATAGGAATGAGATCTTGTAAAACTACCTTTTAAACCTAGACAGTCACTTTGTCTCTCCTGGGAGTTTGTGGGCTCTTTTTTTCTGCTCATGTGTGCAAATGGCTACCCCTCATCTAAATTTACATATTTCCAATTTCAAATGATCAGCTTAATATTGCCTAGGGCTTCTAGCTCTTTATTCCCAATTCTTAGAAGAGAGAATCTGATTGACATAGCCTTGGTCAAGTGTTCTCCCAGACCCCAGCAATAACTGGGAGTATAGCGTTGCTTACTGCTGACAGGGTTGTCAAGGATTCTGTCGCCATTTATTGAGGGGCAGGAACAGGGAGGTGGAGCTGAACAGGTATTACAGTAAGAATCCAGTGGTATTCCAAAGAATCTCAAGTCTTGTGAGAGAGATAAATAATTACCTTACATGTAATAAATACCATAACACTTGTAGAATGTAAAGGGTTATCAGGGCAAAAGGAGAAACCTGATGACCCAAGAAGGGCGTGCTTCACAGAGGGTAACATTTAAGCCATTAACAGTAATGTCTAATCCTGACTCTATCACCTGTTAGTTTTGTATCTGTGGACAGGTTTTGCATCAGCTTATCTGTAAAATGAGAATAATAGTGACCTACCTCATAGGGTTAAATGAGATGATGCATGCAAAGAGTTAAATCCATGCCTGGCAAATACAGCATGTCCTCCAATGACATTGTTTCTTGTAGCAGGTGATGAGATGCCAGAGATGCTCTAAGAACTTAACTCTTGTTTATATCCATTAACCTGTGGTAAAAATTGGTTCCATTATATGTCATTTTGCTTAAGTGAGGAGTTACTATCTTAAGTACTCATAGTAAAGCAAATATTTTTATAGCAAGGTTAGTATTATCTTTAAAATTCAAAAGGAATGGAATACTGAATGTCTAATTGCCAGTCAACTTATATTAATGCATGTTCTACTGGCAATATGTTTGAAGTTCTTTTTTATTGTAACAATACAGGTTACATGAAAAACAAAAAATGTGTGTTCTAAAGACCTTCATGTATATTAAAAGACCTAGAAGCTAAAATCCATCTGGAATGAAATGGGATTTTAGATGATAATAAAAGGATATTTTGGTTATATGTAATGCTTTTTTTTTAATTGCTAGGATATAGAGTCAACATGTAATTACAAATTGATTTTTTAAATGAATATTGACTGGTGTTTCTTCATGCTAATATAACAGGTCCTTGATCTTACAGCTTCAGAAATAATCACTGTGGAAGCTTCAGCTACGGGTTAAAGTCTTTTCACATAGGCTGTTTTCTTTTCTTTAGGCTCTGTGCTCCTCAACCTACTGATATAATAGTCGATCCAATGTGTGGAACAGGGGCAATACCAATAGAGGTAATAACTTTTCTTTAGCTTTTAATAAGCAAATGTTACATCCAGAATGTCCTAGAACTAATAGGCACAACAGACATAATGAAATCACCAAGACTGGGTCAGTGGATCCAAGGGTTTTGAAAGCATTACTCTGGTAAAGCTGGAACTTTTTGTGTCAAGGATGTTACCACTTATTACAAAAGCAAGAACTTGGTAGATTGTAAATTCTATTTATTCAGTGGATTACAGAGGAGGCTGAGAATTACAAACTGGTGAGTCCCTTTTCTATGATGGACAAGCAGGTAGACTTGAATGGAAAAGATAATTGAAGGCACAAGCATAAACTGGAGGAAGGCATTTCATCCTTATAAAGTGATTATGTTTCTTAATCTATTTGGGTTCTTGGAGTAAGTATGGTTGTAAAAAGGGGAAGCCTATGGACAGTATTTAGTTTTTCCAAGAAGTCTAAATAAAGGTTACATGCCAAATGTTCCTAAGTAGTTTTTATTTTTTATTTTTTAAATTTTAATGTATTTTTTCCATTTACCATTTAACCCCTTTACACCTCCCTCTGCCCTCCCATCCCCAATCACCACACTGTTGTCCATGCCAATGAGTCCTTTTTCCTTTTTGCTTGATCCCTCCACCTCCTAATCCATCCCCCACATAACTACCATCCTGCTCTCTGTGAGTCTGTCACTATTTTACTTGTTAGTTCAGTTTGTTCATTTGATTCTACATGTGAGTGAAATCACATGGTATTTCTCTGACTGGCTTGTTTCACTTAGCATAATGTTGTTTTCCAGGTCCATCCATGCTGTCCCAAAGGGTAAAATTTTCTTCTTTTTTAAGGCCAAGTAGTCCATTGTGTAAATGTCCCATAGTTGTTCTAGCCACTTATCTGCTGATGGACTTTTGGACTGAATCCATATCTTAGTGATTGTAAATAACGCTGCAGTGAACATAGGGGTGCTTATGTTCTTTCGAATTAGTGTTTTGGGTTTCTTCGGGTATATTCCCAGAAGTGGGACCGCTAGGTTAAAGGAAGCTCCATTTTTAATTTTTTAAGGTATCTCCATACTGCTTTCCACAGTGGCTACATGAATCTGCATTCCCACCAACAGTGTAAAAGAGTTATTCTTTCTTCACATCCTTGCCAGCACTTGTTTGTTGATTTGTTGATGATAGCCATTCTGACAGGTGATACCTCCTTGTGGTTTTAATTTGCATTTCTCTGATGATCAGTGACATTGGGCATGTTTTCATATGTCTACCAGCCATCTGTATGTCCTCTTTGGAGAAGTGTCTATTCAGAACCTTTGCCCATTTTTAGTTGGATTGTTTGGATTTTGGGGGGTGGTTTTTGGTGATGAGTTTTATAAGTTCTTTACAAATTTTAGATATTAACCCCTTATCAGATGCATTGGTGAATATGTTTTCCTATTCCATGGGTTGTCTTTTTATCCTGTCTGTGGTTTCCTTGGCTGTGCAGAAGCTTTTTAGTTTGATGTAAGCACTCTATAGATTCAACACAATTCCTATCCAGATTCCAATTATGTATCTCACAGAACTAGAACAAATATTTCAAAAATTTATATGGAACCACAAAAGGACCTGCGTAGCAACAGCAGTCCTGAGAAAGAACAACAAAGTTGGAGGAACCACACTACCTAATATCAAACTATACTATAAGGCCATGGTAATTAAAACAGCTTGGTACTGGCATAAAAACAGATACATAGATCAATGGAACAGAATAGAGAGCCCAGAAATAAACCCGCACTTTTATAGCCGATTCATATTCAACAGAGGAAGCAAGCACATACAGTGGGCTAAAGATAGTTTATTCAGTAAAATGGTGATGGGAAAATTGGCCAGATATGTGCAGAAAAATGAAACTAGACCACCTTCTTACACTACACACAAGAATAAATTCAAAATGGCTTAAAGACTTAAACATTAGACCTGAAACCATAAAAATCCTAGAAGAAAACATAGGCAGTAAAATCTCGGACATTGCTTGTAGCAATATTTTATCTGATTTATCTCCTCTGGCAAAGGAAACAAAAGAAAAATAAACATATGACTACATCAAATGTTCTTAAGTAGTTTTTAAAATGGCTGTGACGTTGAGAGTACTCAAAAATTGCCTGAGCAAAGGAAGAAAGGGAAAGTCATTGTTTAAGTGAAGAACATTTAACAGGAGAGTTTCCTTGAATCAATATTATCTGTTTTTTTATAAATAATTTAGAAGAGGGCACTCCCAGTAAAATTGCTTAAGTTTGTGAATCATAGTAAGTTCTTACATATAGTACACTAAAGCCAATGAGAGATACCATGTACCAGCAATTTTCAACTGGTATGCTGCAAAAATATTTAAAACATGCAATACCTGACTGTTTAGTCAGGGGCACTGACCTCTTTTTCCCTTAGATGATCAAATTTTAAAAATGACAACAGTCAACACAGTAATAGCTATCTGGTATGAATGCCCTTCTTGAACCACAAATACATAGAGTTGCATCTTACTGGTCATGTCACATAACAAGGTTGCATCTGATTTGTTAATTCTTGGTACCACAAATCCGTATATACAAGTATGCACGTGAGGTGTTTTTGTTTTTTTTTTAATTTTTATTTATTGATTTTAGAAAGAGAGAGAAAAACATCGATTTTTTGTTCTACTTATTTATGCATTCATTGGTTGATTGTTGTATGTGCCCTAATCAGGAATCAAACCCATAACCTTGGGGTATTGGGACAATGCTGTTAACTAACTGAGCTACCTGGCCAGGGTTAGGCACCTAGTTTTTTGAAAAGTCATTTTGGAGCAAAAAGAGTAGGTAATTACTATTATTATTTTTTGTAAATCAATCAAAATTATACCTTTTTTTTTTTTTTTTGTCAGATTGGCAACAAAATTTTTTTTGTTGTTGTGCCACAGAATTTTACAAATTATATGTGCCAAGAGATGAAAAGGTTTGAAAATCCCTGCCATAGATTCTTTGAGTGGGCAGAAACTGGATAGGTGAGCAAGTCCAAAATAATTTACAAAGGGAAAAGTAATCCAGAGTGCAATTAGAAAATCACATCTGTCATTTGGGAATTAAAACCCCAGAAAGAGGCCTGACTGGTGTGGCTCAAGTGGGTTGGGTATCATCCTGCAAACCAAAAGGTCTCCAGTTTGATTCCTTGTTGGGACACATGCCTGGGTTGTGGGCCACGTCCCCAGTTGGGAGTGTGTGAGCAGCAACCAATCCATGTTTCTCCCACACATCGATGTTTCTCTTCCTGCCTCCTTTCTTCTCTCTCTAAAAATAAATGAAATCTTTAAAAAATTTTTTTAAATATTAAATAAATCTCAGAAGGAAGTCATAGTAGTTTAGATGACTACTGTTTTCTGCTCACATCAGAGAGATTTACTCTGGCTAAAGAGGCCGACACAGTGAAAATTCATTTGTTGTCAAGAATAATTCTGGGAACAGAGCAGAGTGTTTTTTCTTCAGCATTAAGCCATGATGTATTAATGAGATAGCAGGGAAATAGCATGACTACATGTCAAAAAATACATAACAGAGCTAAAAGTCCAGAGAAGACTCCTACCCACCCCCCAAAGAAAAAGATAAAAAGAAAAAGTTTGAGGCATTTCCATGTAACGGTAGAGATGAGAATGTAAATGTAGAAAAACTTAAGCTGGTATTTGATTAAAATGAGTAAAATTGTCAATGGAATTGACATGGTGTATATATAGATTTGTTCACCAAAGTGTAAAATACTTGATTTGCCATACTCCCCATAAAACTCAAAAGTATTACAAAACCCATCTCTAATTTCAGAGACTGAAAATCTAAATAGGTGTTGAAGAAAAAAATGAATGTTGGGGAATTAGAATCACATGAGAGGCTTTCATCAAACTTTCTAGGTCTCTTCCACGTCCCCTGCACATCACCCTTCTACATCACCCTCAAGTGCCTAGGTGAAGGAAGAAGCTGTGAAGCACTGTGTTCATGGATGAGGGTGCATTACCATTTATAAAGGAAAAGGTGTATGTCACTCATCCCTAAACAGAGTGCAGAACTTTCTCTGCCTTCATGTCAGAAAACTGTTAATTTGCATAGAACATTGTTCAGACCTAAGGTAGTTATGTCACCTCATTCTACAAATGACATGTAAAACACCTTGGTATTTATATTCTGTTGACATGTTTTTGACTTGAACTTACAAAATCCTTTCAAGGTTATGGTAGTTATTTAAAAGCCTATACAATGGACATTACATTCTATTTTGAAATTCTCAAATATTCCAATATATCAGATTATGTAAAATCCCATAATCACAAAAAGATATGAGTTGCTCATTTTGATTTGGTTTCTTTCTTTCTTTCTTTCTTTCTTTCTTTCTTTCTTTCTTTCTTTCCTTTTCCTTGCCTCCCCTCCCCTCCCCTCCCCTCCCTCCCCTCCCCTCCCCTCCCCTCCCCTCCCCTCCCCTCCCCTCCCCTTCCCTTCTTTCTTTCTTTCCTTTCTTGAATATGTTTATTAAAGCTCTGGGGACAGTGAAACAAAGGAAGGGTTAGGGCGGAAGAAGCAACAGGAGAGCCTAGGTGGTGCTCTGCTTTGGCTCCCTAGAAACGTTGTAGAAAAGAATTGAGCCTCAATGGGGCTGCTGTTAGCTCATTGAAAAGTTGGAGAAAAGGGCTACCCGTTGCTCACCTGGTTGCAAGTCTGTGGGGACTCTTAGAGTTTGGGAGAGAAAAGTATAGATGCACCCTGAGGGATGGAAGGCATGGGTGTGCTTCAGAGAGAACCAGCCAATTTGGTTGTGTTTTCAAACTACATTTGTATTTAAGGTCTGTAATACATATTATGTGCCAGGTACTGTGGCTTGAGAAATTGAATAAAAAACCAGACCTGAGTTTACAGATTAATTAAGAGTCAGACAGGTGTAAAAATAATTAAAAAGAGAAAGAGTGCAGTAACAGATATGTACAAAGTGCTTTGGGGAGGGGCATATGAAGCAGCTTGGAGAGTTGGGGTGCATGTCACAGAGCAAGATCTTGAAAGATGAGTAGTTCAGCAAGCAGAGAAAGAACAGGGCATTTCAAGCAGGGAAAGTAGCAAAGCTGATAACATAGAGTGCCTTGCCACTTTAGAAAAGCATTGGACTATTGGATTCAATGTCTTGTTTATTGATAATCAATTGGAATGATTTTTTCTTTAATCATGTTCTTAGTTTGCTACTTTTATTTCAATGTATGCTTTTTGTCTTCTAGGGGGCTACTGAATGGTCTAATTGTTTTCATATTGCTGGTGATAATAATCCATTGGCCGTGAATAGAGCAGCAAATAACATCTCATCTTTACTGACCAAGAACCAAATTAAAGGGTAAAATTTTTAAAGTTTCTGTAGCATTTCTTAGATACTGACTTTGTAACTAATACCCACAGTGCACTGTGACATCATTTAACCAAAATGAATATATCGAGACTCCATTTAAATTTTTAAAGATTATTGAAAGTGAGTTATATTTAAAAAATATTTTTAGCTATACTTTCCCTGTCCCAATGCAACTATTTTTATTTCTGTCTTCCTTTTTCTTTTTCCCCACATAGTGGAAGAATATTTTTAATAACTACATAATATTTCATTCTAGAGAAATTCTATAATTTATTTAGCCTTTCCTTTATTAATTGGCACTTTTTAATTGGCACTTTTTAAAAAAAACCTAAGTTGCTCCCTGGCTCGTGTGGCTCAGTGGATTGAGTGCCAGCCTGTGAACCAAAGGTCGCCTGTTCGGTTCCCAGTCAGGGCACAGGCCTGTGTTGTGGGCCAGGGCCCCAGTTGGAGGTGTGCGAGAAGCAACTCATAATGTATCTCTCACACATTGATATTTCTTTCCCTCTCTTCCCTTCTCTAGAAAAATAAATAAATAAAATCTTTTTAAAAAATTAAAAAAATCTTGAGTTGTGAGAGACTTCAAAACCATCCATCCCATGGTTCCTACATATCCTACAAGAAATCCTAACCATTGTTTTTCCAGCTTGTGTAAACACTCCTAATGACTTGTCTCTGAGGGCTCTTGATTCCCTCTTTGCACAGCTAGTCTTATCTCTTAGTGAACTGAATTTCTCCCTGAACCTCCTACAGATTTTTCCCCCCTCCCACCTGGGTCCATAAAAAAAAATTTTATCTCTGTGTCACATGATGATTAACATCAGATATTGGAAGAGCTACCAATCCTCCCCCTTCCTCCATCCTTACTCCTCCAAATCCTCTCTTCTGCAAGCAAAATATTCCAAGTCTTTTAAATGTATCTTTTTGAAATCTGTGCATTGGAAGTCCATTAGCCTATAGGAAATTTTGTTTTTCAGCTGAGATACGTGTTACAGTATTAAGCCCTAGGCCACTACAACAGATAGATTTGATGACACCATCTGTGCCAGCCTTTCACCATTCTATCAAATCTCAACTGTCTTTGGGAAAAATTGGTTGAAATGTCACTTAGTCTGCAACTTCTTACCAGAGGCTTCATCATAATTATTTCTTTGGTTTTCAATGCCAGTGTCCTTCATTTTCTTATAAAGTAGCAGGAGTAGGTAGTCATCAGCAGATGTCAGGTTTTTTAAGTGCTTACCATCCTGAGTACATAGCCCAGAAGTCGTATATTCCATGATTGGCCTTAACAGATCCAGAAACACCTGCCTTCATAACACTTCGTGTAAGGTTTATATTTGTAAATTTTTTAAAAATATATATTCATTTTATGCAAATATTTATTTATTACTTATACATGGTATACTTGTTACTATTTTATATCTGTATATATATTTTTAATTTTTAATTTATTGATTTTAGAGGGAGGGAGACATCAGTTTTTGTTTTTCCATTTATTTATGTATTCTGTGGTAGATTCTTATATGTGCCCTCACCGGGGGATCTAACATGCAGCCTTGGTGCTTAGGGATGATGCTCTAACCAACTGAGCTACCCAACTGGGGCTTATGTCTGTATATTGATTGTCCTCTTTTCTTTGCTCATTTTGTTTTTCCCCTTTTGATTAGAATCACCAGTGCTTTGTATTGTTCTTTCATATACTACTTGTTCTGTGGTTTATGCTCCATACCTTTTGTTTTTATTCCTATCTCCTATTGAGGTTTTAAAGTTTATCTAAAATCTTAAGTTATTTGCTCTAAATATCTTTTCAGTGATAAAAGTTTTTATTAGAGCTGACTTTCAATGCAAAGTACTCCTGTTGACCATACTCTATAGATTTTGATAATTCTCTATTTTAGTTACTTTCTACATTGTTAGTTGTATACTTGGCTCTCTGATCAGTTGTTTAGGATGGTGCTTTTCAAACTTGAATGTGCCTATGAATCGCCTGGGATCCTATTAACATACAGATTCAGATTCACTAGGTTTAGAATGGGACCTAGGAGCCTGTATTTCCTAGCAAGCTGGGCGATGTTGATGCTGCTGGTCTATGGCCCAACTTTGAGTAGCAAGGATAGTTTTATTTTTGATAATTTATATTTTATTACGATGAGTTTTTATGGTATATTTTGATTCACATTAGATTTTCTAGAGGGTTAGTACATGACCAGGCTTTTTTTGAAAACTGATAGACATTTTAAAACATTGTTTTTCTATTTTCTGAATATTTCCTTCTTTTTCAGACCCTCTTGGGCACTTTCACTTTTTAATCTGTTTGATCTGTACTATTTCTATCAATCTAACTGAACTTTTTAATATTTTTGACTTAAGTTGTTTTGTTGCAGTTATTGGTGCTGATTGTAAAGCTCTATTTTCAATATCTGTGGTTTTCCTCATTATATAGTGATTGCCTTCACTGCATTTTTTTGCTTAAGTTCTTTATCAAATATCAATAGTATAACTATTCCTTTTGGTTCATAATCTTCAATTTGCCTTTTATTCTTAATCTGTGTATTATTGCTTGTTGTATCTTATTAAACCAGTAGCGTTGCCTTAATGAGATTGAAATCATGTTTTTGTCTCCTGTCATCTATTTAACTTTTTTTTGCTTCTTGTTTATTAATAATATGATACATATATTTGTTTTTTAATTTTAAAGTACCTCTATATTTACTAATTTTACATATATTCTTTTTAAGCTCCTGTTATCACTACATAGATTTACCAAGCTTTATCCTTCAGATGTCTCATTTTTTCCTCTTTAGCATTGTTTCCAATGTCTTTTTCATCAGTGTTTTATATCATCAGTTACATAATATACCATCTCAACAGTTTTCAAAATTGTCTATTGCAGTTGTGTTGCAATCTTTTATCCTTAATCCTTTTTCTTAAATCATAAGTGAAGCAGATGTAATCTTTTAGCCAAATCTAACAACTTAAATATATTTGTCATTCTTACAGCTTTGGTTATGATAAGTTTTATTTTATAATTTTATACTTTCTACATTTTACTTTTAAAATTTTGATTATTGATAAAGTCAATATCAATTGATATTTTAGTATCATTTTGTATTTTATATCAGGGTCTTCAGAAAGAAACTTTTGTAAAGTTCATACTTAATGTGTTAAAGCACCTTTCCTTTGTCCTCACAGCAAACTGTCCTGGGGCTTACCCATAGATGCTATTCAATGGGATATCTGCAATCTGCCTTTGAGAACTGGCTCTGTGGACATTATAGTAACAGACATGCCATTTGGAAAAAGGTGGGATGTAGTTTTTTTAAAAATAGGTTTTACCTTCACTTGTTATACTAGTACCCACATGTCTTCTAAAACCTATTTTCTTTGAGTCTATGTCAGAAATCTTTCATTCCTTTCAGCAGATTGTCAGCAGAGCAATTTTTTAAAAAAAATTTAACAAGATGATGGATTCATCCATTTTTTTCTTCTGAAAACTGAGGAATGTATTAACTACATTTTAATCCTGACCATCACAGGAGGTTCATCCACTTTAAGTCCATCCTTGAATTATATGATACTTCACACAGAAAGGTTGAGGAAAATTTGGTTTTGTTCTCAGTATAAATGATTCTTTCACTGATGTGGTTTCTGTAATTTGCACATAATCATTAAGAGGACAGTTTGTATGCTTAAAGTTATGTTTTTTTTCTCTGATTAATCTGATTCAAAATTCTCTGCAATTTAGTTAAATGTGATTGCTCATTTCCTTGACGTATAACAGCAAAGCTATGGCTTCTAAACAGCAACTGTTTTTCATATCTCAGGATTTTCTTATTGCAATGAATTTTTAATAACGTCTCACTTAATCCTAGATATTTTTTGCAACAGTGTTTGACTCAGTGGACCTTCTTTTATAGGATGGGCTCCAAGAAAAGAAACTGGAACCTTTACCCAGCTTGCCTATGGGAGATGAGCCGTGTCTGTAGACCAAGGACAGGTCGAGCTGCACTACTTACTCAGGACAAGAAATGCTTTATCAAGGTGCTGTACAGTAAATCAGAAACTCGGCCTGTGGCGTCTTTATGATCTTAAGTAGACCCGGGGATACTAGTTTCAGCAGGATTGTGCTCCTTATCCCCAGTGTTTCTTAACTGGCAGCTAAGACTCCTGGTTGGCCTAGAAGCAGGTAGGTCATAGAAGTTAATTACTTTTATGCCTTTTATGTATACACAGGCATTATCTGGAATGGGACATGTATGGCAGAAGGTGCATACTGTCTGGGTGAACATAGGTGGTCTTCATGCTGCAGTCTACCTTCTGAAACGTACACCTCAAGCTTTTGTTCATCCTTCAGAACAAGATGGAGAAAGAGGAACTCCTCGGTAATGCAAAAATGAAGATGATTAATGGAATTTGTGCTTCCCGACACTGGAAATGCCAGCATGAACTTGCTTTGAGAAAAACAGTATTGACAAAGTGCAGTGTGCACTGTTTAAATTGGTCTAAAGTTCTTCACCCTGGTTAGCAAAAGGTGTGAATGTATGGTGGAACTGAAAGTCTTGGGAGAAAACTTTTCTTTTGAGCTGTTGTGAAGAAGTAGCTGGGCAAATTAGTACTTTTAAAATGCTTTAAAGATGCTAAACCTACTAAAATGCTCTTGGATTTGGATTTAGAACATTTTGTTTTTCAGGCTTTATACCAGTTCCTATTTTCCATTGTAGCCACCCTGGCCTAATGGAAAGGCAGAGAACATAATCATAGCATCTTAGGCAACACAGATATTGCCTGTGTAGCTTTGCTATTTAGTTGTTCAAGTTTTTACCTCAACCTTTAAAAAATGAAGCATTATTAATTTTGTGAAATAGTATTTGCCTCATGACAAAATGAAGTCTCACAAGACCTATAGGAAAGTTTACCATCTGCCTTAATTAAAATATGCATCTGTTATTCAGGTTAATACATAGAATAGAGGACTAGAATTTAGCAAAGGAATTACAAAGATACATTTTTATTTGTAAATAACAGCAAGTACATTGATAGATTAAGTATGGGACCAACAGGTAAAATTTAAAGAAATTTTATTTTTCTTTCCATACACGAAAGTGGTGTTGCTTTTCAAAGTCAAACATAAATTTGACAATATTTTTGGTTTCTTAAAAGAACTAATGTATGTTTGAATTTAAAACTTCATCTAAGTTCTTGGCTATTTTCTCTTGAGTCACTGTCCATGTTTAGATGCTCTTCTAATTGCAGAAAGACCTTTTTGAGATAGTGGAAAATAAAATGATCTCAACATAATACTAAGTCCTTGTGATAAATAGTGTTTCCCTAGGACACAGTACTTGGGATTTTATGTGGCGTTCTTTAAAGTATTCAGAGTTTATTTTGTCATTTCTGGCTGCACTGAGCTTAGATTTTCAGTGTTGCGTTAGTGGTATAATAGTACTCCTCATACTATCTTTTGATGTCTCACATTTAGAATAAAAGGAAATAATACTTCTTTTCTTTGAAAGAATCAAGTTCACATTAGCAGCACTGCCAACATTCCTAGTCTGGTATTCTCTCTTATATACTACCTCACTCTTAAAGATGAGTATTTTATATCCTAGCCTGGAGTTTTTACCATCATCAGAATGTAGCTACACTTTGGGTTCAACATAAAACAGCTTTTTACCTGACAAAAAACAACATTTAAACTCCCAAATATTGGTCAGTATAGTCCACAGAAATGGAAAGTATAAGGACCCATGTCCATTTACACACACCACTGTGTAGCAAGTGCATGGCACAGTACCTTCATGAGTGGACATTTAATATTTGATGAACAAGTATTTTTGTATATTGGCTGTTTTTAAGTACAACAAATTTGTGCCTGGCCCATCAGAGCTGTAATGGTGTTCTTATTAAAACACTACAGTAAAAACATGACCAGATTGATTTAAGGTGATGCAAATATGTAGAGAGCATTGTCTCCAACTGTTTGAAGTCTTTCCTCCCTAGTATTATGTTTTGTAATCTGGCAACAGGAACAGGAAATAGGTTATCAGGAGGAGCTAGGATTGAATTATATATGACACTGCCACCTAACTCGTTCTGTTATCTTGGTTTTTAACCTTTTAAGTGGGCCTCCTCCTACACCATGGGAATGTGAAAAGATGGGAAGGTAATCTTAATCTGAACACAAAATGAATAAATTATGATCCAGACATTCTGTTACTGGGAGAGTCAACAACATAAACATTGAGACAGATTTTATAAATTAAGTCGAAGGAAGATTATTATCTCCTAGAGACTAACAACGTACTAGTGACAAGAAAGGGAAATAACACTTATTTTAAAATGGTGGTAGGACTTTCCGGAAACTGCCAAAACTGCAGATTCTAGCGTATCAGTGTCAGAAACAGTTCAGGTCTCTACTATAAGAACCAAAAGATGAGTGGACTGAAGGAAAGGAGGTATTCATTTTAAAAGGCCTGCAGAGTACTTTAAAGTGCAATAAAACCTACAAGTGCTTAATATTGGTGAGATAGGCATAGAAAAAGTAAAACATCTTTATTCTCAGCATAGCCTTTTCCAAAAATTTCAGGCAAGGTATTATGTGCGAATTTCAGTGGGGATATGGTAAAAGTTAGAAAATTCTAAGGGAAAAAGAAAATCACATTTAATTGTGCCTTGGTACATTTTTTGAAGAAAAAAATATACAGGTCTCCCACTCCAAATTTTTTAAATGTGCAGTGTGAAAAAGAATGTATCCTTGTTTAAAGAGGCCTACACTGTCCACCTTACACTTTTGCACCAAAGCTAACATGTTTGCTAAACAGTTGTGAAGTTGTAGCTCTTCAATGATATATTCTGATAAAAGCAATTTTCACTGGAAAGGAAAATGGTATTAGTTTTTCTCAACCAAATTCTAAGTTTCCAACTGCCTGCTATAGTTATGTCCCACCTCAAACGTAAACATACCTTTCTCCACTAAAAGCACTGTGTCTGGCATACCCACTCTCCCAGTCATGTAGCCTTAATGCTGAGTCATTTTTTTTTTAACTCCAATTATTCAACTGGCATTTGAGTGTTTATGTTGTGCTAGAGCAACTGTTTCTCAAACTTTGGTCTCAGGACCCCTTCTTACCATATTAGAAATTAACAGAATGAGTAACAAACGCATTACAATAACATTTTCATGGAAGTAACTATTTTCAACAGAGTGGATTAGTTTACATTTCTTGCAATTCGGTTCTCTCAAATATCTGCCTTAATTTTTATTTATTTTTTGATTTTAGAGAGTGGGAGGGAGACACATCAGCTTGTTCCACTTGTTTATGCATTCTTTACCCGATTCCTTGTGTCAAATGTCTGCCGTAATAGAAGGCAGCAGGGTTTTTATCTTTATGCATTTAGTTGGTTGAAATGTTATTTGCAGATTTTTGTATTTTCATGTATTGGTCATTTGGAAAATATTGGTTCACTTAGTAAGTGAAACCAAACTTCTAAATCTCCCAAATGTCGACCCAGTTCTTTGTATAATATATAGAAATCATATTAATATAACTACCTCATACCCTAAATACTGGAAAAATGCTCAGCTCCCTTGATAGCAGGTACAATTTTCCCCAAAATGTAAATGTTCACTTCAGAGTTTCAATTTTACTATTAGTAACATTGTTTTCCTTGAAAGGCTCACTTCCTTTATATTCAAAAAAATGTCTGCCAAGTCTACTCTAACAATCAAAATAGGTAGTCATTCTTTCCCATTAAAAATGGTGTTCCAAGAGAATAGTACTTCATTCAGCTTGCAACTTACCTGCACAACCATTGTAAGCAAGCATGTAGCAAAAGTACTACATACAAATATTCCATTTCATCACTCATATTGAAGTTACATAAAATTAACTGTCTTCACAGGGATATGAAGTGAAACTGCTCCCTTCTACCCTCTAGGTGTATAGTGCAAGTGTATGGCACAAGAAAATTACTACTAGTCTGGTGCCACTGCCTTGATTTATGACAAGATGCCAGCAGTTTTTACCCATCTTTGCCTTTTCACCATTAATGAAGATACCTGGATAAACCATGAAATTTTAAAACATTATTCAACATTTTGACTACTTTGGGACATCTTTTGTTTGTTGCCAAGCTTTCACTTAAAAGCGTCTCTGACTAGTTGACACTGATGCTAGACAATTTCAGGGTGGGGCAAAAGTAGATTTAGATGTGAGTACACAAAACACAGATTTTATTCTTGTATATTTATTTTGTATAACTTTCCATCCAAACTATTATAAACCTACTTTGCCCTACCCTGTACAAATAAACCCATCCACATTTATAGACTCATTTATTTGTAAGTCAAAGATACACTTCTACAGAGATACTAACACAGATTTCATGTCTGCACACAAGTCTTTAAAATGACAAGTAACTATTGTTAAAAAGTGACACTACTATGGTTTACTTTTCATCCAGCATCCAGCAGTGTTAAATGTACACGGCTTTTTGTAAGGTCTCTCAGCTATTCTGCTTCTCCAGCCAATGTCATACAATAAATAACATTTCAGTAGCTTTTTCTTCTAATTTCTTTGAAGTTGATTCTTCCCATAACTAACATTTTTAGACATAAGCTATGGGTTGAACAAGTAGTCTTACAATCTTTTAAGCCAATGATCCAACCTTAAATAGGAATAATATAAATTGGTTTATGTTATTAAATTCTAAAATAAGTTGTAGTTAAATTTAAAAATTTAGAAATTTTGAGCAAAGCACATTATTTCATAACAAGACAACAGGATGTACTTTTATGTTTATGCTTAGACATGAAGGAAACATGAGGATTTTATATTAACAATTGTACAATATTGAGAGTTGCTGGGATGATAGAAGGTATAACCTAAAAAGTGAGTTAATTCCTAAAAACAAATGTTCATGTCCTAAACCTACTACCACCTTAGGAAATTCTAGAAAATTCAAGAATGTATATACAGCACCATTCAATTAAAATCAGTGACGATCTATCTCATCAACATCATGTAGCCTCTGCACACTTCTGAAAAAGGTAAACAACAGCTTAGTATTATGAAAATAGTTTGACCTCAAAGACCTCACTATGCTTAGGCAACAGGGAAACAGCCATAATACAAGGTCTGTCTATAAAGTATCAAGCCATGTACAATGGAAAAGAGATATTTATTGAAGATGATACAAGAAACATTGTACACAGGACGACACCTCAGTCCCCTTCAATGTTGGCACCTTGGGACCTCACAGATCTCTAATCTTCGTTGATTGCCGCCCATACACCTTCAACATTCTCAGGTGTTCAGCTTGCTGCAGGCCTTCCAGAATGTAGATCACTTTCAACAGATTCTCAAACATCTTTGAAGCATTTGTGCTGCACTTATTTGCACTGCACTCACGGCATCATCCCCAAAAGCCTGAAAAATCTAAATAGTTTCCATTCCATGGAGGAATGCTCAAGCTTAACCCAAAATTTGATGCAGATTTGCTGCTCTACTAGCTTAATCATTTTGAATGCAATGTCCACACAGGATCCATGCTCACTCAACACCTACCACCCCCACTGACTAGTACAGTGGAGTCATTGTTCATGCATGCACATTCCAGTTCACTTTCCTTGGCTGCCAGGTTACATTGATGTCGCAAAACCATTCTCATTGTATTAACAATGGTTGAAGTTTTTCCAGATAGACCTCGTACAAGTACTGTCCTGCCCTCAAGGAGCAACCTAAAAAAGTAAAACAAAACAATTACCCAATTACTAATTTAATTACGACTGTGAGAGACACAACATACAAGTGGGGGACCCAATGTAGCAGAGGTGAAGGCATCAAGAAGACTTCCTCAATGTATCTGATATGGTGAGACTGTCCTTCTTCTTAGTGACTGACATTTGGTCAGTTATCAAGTCCTTTAACTTCTTTTCCATTTTGATTGCCATTGCTATACCAGATCTCATCACTTCATGTCTGGACAACTGCAAAAGAAACTCGTAAGTGGTCTCTCTGCCTTCAAACTTCTCCATTCCTACAATCTACCTTGTATCTTGCAGCCAGATTAAATTTCTTAAAAGGCTTTTTTCATCAGAGAAAGTAGTACCATTAGCTGGTAAGAAACACTGACTTACACAATCCAGATCAGTTTGAACCCCTGGCCCTTAATTTGTTGCGGTGTCTATGGGAAAGTTGTTCAACCTCACTGAGCTTTAGTTTCCTACTCTATAACTCTAGATTTTACATATCAGGACTACACTACAATAGCACTCAATAAATATTAATTTCTTCAACTTAACTATGTTTCCATTAGTTTCTGCCTACAGT